GAGGCATTGCATCTATGCGTACCACAGCCAGATACGACAGTACTTGAAACTCGGTCTTGGTTAGTTGCCTCATCTAGGCTTTCAGAACAATAAAAATGGTCTTTTCCAAATATTATTTGAATCTAAGTGTACGTTGTCTCTTTTGTTCAAATAACAGCACGTGTAGACATAAAATAAACCGACTCTTTTCTACCAAATCCCGGCAAAGGTGTTTTAATGTTTCGGCTCACACTTCCGCACGTGACACAATTTCATCCACTAAACGACTAATAAAAAGTGAGACACGACCATACGGTAAAGACATGATGGTGGTGGTGTAAACAGTGTGTTGACTTTTCCTATCAGTGTTTCAAAATTCGTATCAGAAGAGTAGAAACTTCTATAGAGACCTTATGATAACAGCCCTTTCATCATGCCGCCTGCGTTCTTTACTAAATGTCGAATGGCTACCACGTCAGACGCTACTTTAATCCACTTTCACAAACGACATTCGCATGGAACGAACTTAATCACAGAATTGGAGAGGCGACAAGCTTGTGCTTTTGCGGAGCTTCTGTTCAATTCTTTACTGATTAAAACTGACTTCTTTCCTTTCGTGACGAGGTTTCACCTCATCCTGAGGTCATACGTTCACCTATCATGAAAAGTTGGTAATTAGGATTGAGTGAATTCAAAGTTTCGTATGAAACACCAGACGAAAAAGCATTAGTTGTGGTTTATGGTAGTGTCATTTTTTGTTCAGAAGTTGTTCGGGGGTAACGAAGACGAACAATGGAACAATGGCCGCTTCGTCATTTGTGATATTCTCACGTAATGTGACGCTTCTTTTCCTAGACAAGTTCTGATTTAACGTCATGAGATGATCTTTCTTTCAATCATCTACCATCGTTACTACCGTCGTTTCTTTAGCTGAGGTTTCTTGATAGCTACAACGATTTAGTATTGAAATGGAGTTGCACTCGATGCATCAACGAACGCGCGCTTAGAAATCACTACTCACCTCTGACATTGACTTGCATTATCGTTAAGTTAATACAAAGAGCCTGATGTTTCGAATGAATTCAAAATTCCAAATGGAGCACGAATA